AGTCTCTGGTTGGCCCGCGTCGGGCGTGACTTGGGCTGCGCCGGGCGCGATATCACTGGTGACATGTTTTGGGTACTATACACTTGTTCTTTTCTGTCCGGTTTCAAGTGTACAGTGTAGTGTGTAGTGACCAGCCGGGTCGTTACACAAAATTATTTTTTATTTTCAATTGACCAAGAAATGAGCAGGCAAGAAATCAACCAGTATATATATATATATATATATATATCGTTAGTAATTTTTTAATAAATTTTTCGTATAACTATTGCAACAACAATTCTTTTCAAAATAATCACGTACTCAAAACTTTAACTTAAAATTACTGATTATTTTAATTAGTACTCGGTTATAAATAGTTAATATAAAATACTTTTATATATATAAACATCTACAAAAATATGATTACTTCATTTTATTTTGGTAAAATATTACTTTATTAATATTTCACCTTATTTATTATTAGTATAGTATAACTTATAATTACCTTTATGTTCTGTAAAAGATAGAAAAAAAGAAGAAGATATCTTTATGCTACACTAGTACATATAAAAATAAAATAAAATTACGTGTCTATATTAAAAAAAATAACAAATTTCTTTTAATAGTTTATATGGTTATTAGAAATAATGTGTAGTTATTGAAAGTAAAGTGTGAAAAGAGAAAAATGAAAGTAATCTTCCTTATTATTAGAATAGATATATAAATTAAACTATACATGGAAACGAGTCAAACCACGCACTTAGTTGGTATGGTTGACTTAGACTCTTAGCTGGTCCTTAATTTGCACGTCTCGTGAGACTTCAAAGTCTTCTCTGAACCCTTCTACACTCCCTCCTCCTTTAATGCATGTTTGTCTTCTCATTAAATTATTATTCTTCTTCTCTTTTGTCCATTGCAATGTTAATCAACATGAAGACCACCATTTCCTCTCAACTTTTCCTCCTTTCACTTCTTCCCATTTGCTTCACATGCCTTGCTTTTGGAGCCACCATGCTGCCACAAAATGAAGGTACGTACGACCACATAACTATAGGTATACCAAAATATTGTTTATGTGGTCACGTTGCTTATTATGGCACTTAAATTTGTGTGTTTATTTTAGTGCTAGCGTTGAAGGATATAGCTAAAACACTTGGTAAGAATGAGGGTTGGGACTTCAATGTAGATCCATGCAGCTGGAACAGCACTTCTACCCATGAAGAAATGGCCGATATGGTTATTTGTAATTGCAAAGTGCCCAATGACAGCTTCTGCCATGTTGAGAAAATGTATGTGCTTTTTCTCTTGTCTCTTTAAATTTTTAAACTATGGTTGATTGTTTAATAAAAAAGTGTTCACATATATTATATTTTTTCCAAAATTTTTTCATAATCGTTTTAACACTATTATTTATTTATTTTTTATTGTTAATTTTTTTAAGATTAATGACTTATTAATTTTCTTTTTCATTTTTGATAATTAATGTATGTTTATTGAACAATATATCTATTCATTTTTTAATGTACTTAACCACCTAAAATGTATAAAAGAAAAATAGGTAATAAATATTTTGAAAAACTAAAATATTAATTATTTTTTTAATTCTTGTGTATAATCTTAAACGTCAATTAAAAAAAATAGAGAGAATATTTGTTTTATTGAAAATGTGTTTTTCCTACTTTTGGAGGAAGAGTTTCTTTGGATGAACGTTTTTGTAAGCATTTTTGTTGGAACCAAAAATAGAATAAGTTAAAATTACTTTATAAAATCATTTATAATTAACTTTTTTATATAATTTATAAACTAGTTTTAATTTATAAAAAATATTATTTCATTTTTTTATTTTTCATCATGGATTGTCCTAATACATTAGTGTTTCTTTTTTAAATAGTCAATATTTCAACCATCAAATCATATCTCATATAATCGAACATTATAATCAATTGTTTAAATCTAAAGTCTTGTCTAAGAATTTATACAAGTTTGACTCGTAAGTTAACCTAATTTTCAAAAGATACAAGGTTGGACAATACAAAACTGTATCTGTGATAAGTCAAATATTGTATTTAAATAAATATTTAAGAAAGCAATTTCGTTTCAAGTGAATTTAAATACTTTAAAATGAAATATTTTGTTTAAATTAAAAATTAAATAAAAATGAAATTCTAGTAATTCAAGAAAGTATTTTAATTACTTTAAAAGGTAGAATTTCAAAAGAAATTGATTTTCATTATTTTAACTTTTTTCCCTTGTCCTCTTTCCGATTCTTGAATTTCTTTCTCTTCACTTCTCCTTTCTCTTTCTCCTTTTTCTTTCCTATCCTCCATCTCTCTCCATCTGTCACTATCTTCTCTCTCTCTTCTTTCTCTTATAACTTTTCTCTATCAATGTTAACATGACAAACATTAATAAATTTTTTTACTTATTAAGGATTGTCTAATATAAAAATTTTGAAATTATTAAATATTAAAAAAAATAAAAAAATGTTTATTTTTTAAAGTGGTTTAATATTAAAATTTCAAATATATATATATATATATTTAACAATAACTTTTTTAAATTGTAAAAATTAAATTATCTTATTTAAATTAAGAATTTAAAATTTTTGAATTAATTTAATAAAATTAAATTAAAGTAATTCAAATTTCAAATTGACAAATTTTGAAATCTATCATCTAAACACAACTTCATATTTTTCAATAATTAAGTATCTCTTGACCTAAAGTCCAAACTGGGCTTGAGGTTGAACTAATACAAGGTTCATCTATATAATAATATTTGTCGCACAACTTGTTAAGCTCACAATTTGCATGAATATAGACTATTTTTTTTTTTTAATTTGTATGATCATAACAATTTTTTTGATTTGGTTTATGAAGTCTGCAAACATTACAAGCTTAACCGTAAAGTTTGCATACTAGCACGTTTCACACTAAAATTTAACAATATTTCATGTTTAATTTCAAAGGGATGAAAATAATTGACATTTGATTTTAGATGGATGAAAATAAAAAAAAAATTATAAAAATAAAAATAAAAAAATTTCATTTTACAAGAACTAAAAATAATATTAACAAATCTTAAAATAGTAAAAAAAATAGATAAAATAAAATCAAAATTCACTCATTTATACAAACTAAAAATATATTTATGTATATGTTGTTGAACTTTGCTCCTTTAAATAGTTCACTAAACACCACTTGAATTATATCAAGTATCTAACCAAAATAAATAAATAAATAAATATACCACACATTTTTTTAAGAGATGTGGAGTTTATTGATTTTATATTTATTTAGAAGTAACATACTTTTTTTTATTTCTTTTAAATTTTAAATATATTTTTAACTCTTATAAAATGAATAATTTTTAATTTTGATCTTTATAAATTTTTTTTTTAACCTTTTGATTAAAAATTGAAATAACTAATTTTGGTAATGTAAAGTCCTATAAATAAAAAATTGTTTTATAACCTTTATAGAAAATTATTTTTAACCTTGTAATTAAAATTTTGAAATTAATATTTTTTGATACATACAATCATTATAGGATAGATAAATAATATTTATTTTTAAAATTTTAATGTTTTTAAGAATCATATAGCAACATGATACTTTAAACACTTGTAGTTAACACTTTATACAATCATTTAATTTTCAGTAAACACATAATTTGTTAATGGTTACTATATACCAGTGATTTAAAAACCGGACCGAACCGGCCGGTCGGACCGGTTGGACCGGGAACCGGTGGTCCAGCCGGTCCGAATCTGAAGTTGGATCGGTTATGCAGTCGACCCGTTTCAAACCGGATTGAACCGGTCAATTTTCCGGTTCAACCGGTGAACCGGTGGGTCAAACCGGTTCAACCACTTTTTTTTCTTTTTTTTTTTTAAATTTTTTTAAGGGACCATAAATCACAAAAATAATAATGAAAATTGAATCTCTTAATGAAAAAGCAAGGAGTCTTATTAAATATAACAATGACTACTTGTTCTAATATATTTGTTTGCAATATATACAACTTAAATAACTTTTATAGTATATTATTAATTTTAAATTATATATTTAATAATGCAATATCTATGTAAATATTACATATATTATTTTGTGATATTAATTGCAAGCATATTATATATGTACATATTATTTATATTTTTAATTTGTATTAATATACAGTTTAATATGTAATTTTTTATATATTTTTTACAAAATAAAAATAAAAATAATTTTAAATAAGATAGAAAAATTGAAATTTAAAATAAGATATGAATTTATTAAAATTTATAAGTATAAAATATATTTAATATGAATATTTTTTTAATAAAAATAAATAAAAACCAAGTCATGCGGTTCAACTAATGACCCACCGGTTCAACCTTTGACCCACTGACCCAGTACCTTAACCGGTTCGATGACCGGTCCGGTTTTTAAAACTATGCTATATACAGTTGCATAGACTCATCAACTAGTGACTCTTTTATAGAATAAATTATATTTTTGTTCTTTATCTTATTTTTAAGCTTAATCATGGTCCTTTATCTATTAAGCATTTCATTTTTTGGACACGATTTTAAATTTTTTTTGAATGATATGAAATTTGTTTAATTAAATTCCCTTACATGTAAACTATTAAACCTAATTGATGCTCGAATTAAAAAGTCATGAACATAATGAAAATTATGTGAAAATAAATCAAATGAGCAATCAAAAATAGAAGAAAAAAATCTAATATCATACTTTGTTTTTATTTGAGAGATTTATTTTTCAGACAATTTTTATAATATTTATTGTTCTTATCGGAGATCGGTCATAGGGGACGATCTGCTGCGTAAGATCAGTGAGCCTCCTTTACTGGGTACGGTTGCTGTTCCAAGACGAGGGTGGTACCTGCAAAAGAGACTCGGATGCTAAAGTTAGTGTTTGTGGGCGTATGAGTCTCGTATAAGGAACGCACGTACCTTTGTGTGAATTAGGGTTTCATTGGGCCTTGGGTCTGAGATCAGTTATGACCTATTTGGATGTCGGGTTGACGTCGCCTAGCGCGTGTCCGAGATCACTCTGCGCTGAGATGCAGAGCTCGAGCTCGGCATAGCGGTACGGATAGTACACTAGCCCCCCGAGCTCCGAAGACCGTGGGTCGAGGAGTTAAAACCGAGCTCGTCGAAGGGTCGTGACCCTTCGCGTACGCTTGTCTGTCAAGACGCCATGTGTCATAACCGTCGCCTCGTTCTCGAAAACGTGCAGGCAGCATGTTAATGGGAAGTGACGGTTATGCAATGATGGTCGTGCTCGTCATAATGGGGCTCATTAAATGTGTCGCCAGTTTTGTCCCTTGGATAACACGTGTTGTGGCCGTTTGAATTTTGGGGAAAACCTTTTCTTTCTCCCACGCCACTTCCCATTCACTTTACTCTTTTTCGTTCTCTAACTTCTTTGACTTCTTGTGCACGGCGATTTCTGCACTTCTGCTCCCACCACCTCCGTTTGCTTTTGTCGTCGTCGTTTCCAGCAACTCCGTCGTATTTAAGGTCGATACCAAAGGAGTACCAGGTACTTCATTTTCTCTGTATTCTCTTTCCGTTCTTCCCACCTACTAGTCTTCTCTGTCTTTCTTTTCCTCTCCAATATTCCCTATTCTCAATGGCTGGTGGCAGTGGTGCTGCTCCGTCCGCGCCGGCCAAAGGTAAAGGCAAGGCGCGCGGCAAGGCAGTGGTCGTCGAGACGGCCTCCGCAGAAAAGAAAAAGGGTGGGAACCAACCCAGGGAACCCTTCCCCGTCATCTCTGGCTACGATTGGGTCAAGGGTGACGTTGGAGAGTTCCAAAGCGTTTTTAGGTCTTCGCGCTCAGCTTCCTCGGCGCCCTTCTGATTAGCCCCCTCAACCGAGTAGTCAACACGAAGAGGAGGGGCACTCGGTCTCTCAACCCCCAACCGCGCCTAGGGCACCGACTCCCTAGCCTGCCACACATCGGTCTCACGCACCGACAAACTGGTCGGCCCCTGAAGTCAGCAACGCTCCTACCCAGGCACTTGGAAATCGGACGAGCATTCGCCGCCACCCCTTTGTGGACGACATCATGGAGACGCCTCTGCCCTTTGGCTGGAAGCCCCTCCACATCGACCGCTAGGACGACACGACGTTTACAAAAAAATAATTTGCAATTTGTGACGGATTTTATTTATTACTGATGCATTTCATTCAGTACAACAGTTTGTGACAGATTTCGCAGTTATTCATCACAAATTTAGTCAGCAAAGACGCCCAGTTTGTGAGGGATTCATCCCAGT